AATGTATCAAAACAAAAGCGGTCTGACAACGTTACGCAATCGTTCCATGTTTGGAGAGATGCCGCCGAGCATTACGCTCGGCCTCTCTCCGAACAACGGGACGCTCCTTCATACGTGCTTAACACTTTCTCCATCGATATGATTTCCAGGTTTTACTTTCATTGGAATATCCGAGAAGGAGATCTACCGATTTGTTTACTAACACGTGCTCTCGTGCGATCGCGTGCATGTGCAATTATTATGCAGCGAATGCATCGGTAAAGTACATTGGTACATTTCTTTTATTGACTGTCAATGAGCTTAAAACAATTTTAGAATTATTTTTATAACTAAAGTACAAAATTTGATTAAATTCTGTACAAGATTATAAAAATACCAATTTGGTCTCTGAAATATATATTTCAATCTTGATTGAAAAAATCGTCCTAAAATTGTAACTTTTGAATAATTTTATAAGATGATATAGAATGCATAAAAATTATATTGTTCCACATATTTTAGATCTCCGTATTTTTCAGATATAAGGTATAATAAAACGAGACTTTAGAAATTACCAAAACTAAATTAAACTAGTGGGGTGTATGGCATCGTTCCTTAAGGCAAATTGCTGGAACTTTTCCGTACAGTAACGAAATGTTCGAGAAATACTGAATGTTTTCAAATAGATTATTATTAATATTGTAACATTGTCTAATATTTACAAGAATTATATAAACTGAATTGCAAAGTTGAAATTATTTGTTTAAAGTATATTAGAACTAAAGTCAGAATCAAAAATAAAATCTGAATTATTTTCGCTATACAAAAAAAAATTTTTTGAAAAAAAAAGTTGAAACAAAAATTTTTTTTCCAAAATTAATTATTTTGTTAAGACAAGCAGAAAGTTCTTTGAATCATTTAAATCGGACGGTTAGTTCTCTCAAAAACTGCCATTTCTTACACATTTAGCTCCGTATCTTCGAAATGGCTGGTCCTGCCTTTGCCAAAAACTAAAAAAACACTTCTCCCAATCATTACTAATTGAATGTTTTTTAGATCATTCAAATCGGACACTACGTTCTCTCAAAAACTCGATTTCTGTTTTCTGCACTCTTTGCTCTTTATCTCCGTAACTGCTGGACCTGCCTTTGCCAAAAACTAATCAGCTCATCTCCCTATGAATAGGAATGGAATGTTTTTTGAACCATTCAAATCGGTTGATCCGTGCGCCCGAAAACGTGACTGCAAATTTGTATCCATACATACATACACACACACACATCCATTTTTTTCTGAGGTATGCTAAAATGTTCAGAAACCTTCGAAACGTCGAGAAATGTAAAAATTTTCAATTTCGATTTTTGGCCCATTACAATAACTTACCCTACGGGAAGTTTAATAAAATAGACTTTAGAAATTATTAAAACCAAACATAAATAAAGCAATTCTCTTTTTGTATATAAAATTTAATTACTAATTATGTATTCATTGTGTCACTAATATAATTATTAATTATATATGTAATTTTTTTCAGAGCCTAAATTATATAGTGAAAGTGGACACATTTCTCTTATTACAATACGTTTCAAAGTATTAAATCACTCTTTGAAAAGACTTTTAAAATATCAGTGTTTTTTGCAGAAAGTTCATATATTCAAAATATATTCAATCTAAAAAATCAGTAAAGGTGGAAAACTATGAAATACATAAAAAATGAAATGGAATGGAAATGGAATTTTTGTTTAACTTTCGACAATAATAATTTAAAATCATTTCAGAAAATAATTTATCCAAAAATATATTGCAAATTCTAACGCTATGAATATATTTAAATATCAGTTTAAATATACGTTTTGCAATAAATCAAGTAAATATTGAAACTATGTATTGCATTGCAATATTCGCTTTTCGAGTGGAAATAGTTTTTGTGTTTGTTTGATCTTTTCCTAAAATTGAAATTAAAATTTGCTATTATTTTGCATATTGAAATGACAACAATTAATATTCAATAATTAAATATGACTATCAAAATAATTGTGTTAACGTTGTTAAGAATTTCGACCTATGGTTTTATTGCATTGCTATCTATATTTATTAGCATTCACATAAAGAAGTACTTGCTAGAGTTTTCACTTTAATTAGTTTTCTAGAAACTTATTCAAAGTTCAAATGCAATAAAATGCCGCAACAAGCATTGACATCGAGCAAATAAAATATACAATTATATTGTGTGTATGTTAGGCTACAGCCAATATTTAATAAGTAACAAACAATAGTTAGCGACATAACTTTAGTTCAGTGAATTATTATATCAGACAAATTATTCCACAAAATACAATAACAAATTCTTCAAAAAATTCCACGAGATGTAACGAAAACCATTTTGACTTCTAATTATATCATAATAAAATTAAATGAATTGAATGCTTTTATGTAGGCGTAGCGGAACAAAATGGGAAGATTAGATTTGACTTTACACTACATGGATTTTTGACTATTTAGTCGTCAAGTAATTTTCTCCGGCATTGTTTTCATAGAATTAAATATTAGGAAGCTTAAATTGTCACTTCATTACATGACTATAATTAATTTGTATTTCACAATATAATTTATTTACCACTTTAATTTAATCATTTTGAATAATATCAAGTAGAAAATTTGCATCAACTTTCAAAATTTAGTAATCAAAACTCATTTGTGAGCGCGTTATTGGTACATGCGCCGATGCAAAAGTTTTTAAATAAATTGGTGACCCTATTTATTTTTGTGTACAACTCTTATCATGTATTGTAGGTAATTACATTTGAATAACACTGTACTCTCTCAATGCATCTACTAGGTCATTTCCAAAGCAAAATCGAATTTTTCTAAATATAAACTAGACAAATGAGAGCACTTACTCAGATGGTGTATATTCTCCCATGATGACCACATCGTTTTTGTCGCAGCGACCTTTCCTGAACGACACGTAGTCCGAGCATTCGATGCCGTAAAAACCAACCTTTGAGTAAATTGATTCAGCGTAATACAAGGGAGCACGGTTGTGGTCGCAACTTATTAGATCTGCGAATTTAACGTTGTTAGTCGATTGTATAGAATTGCATGCTGGAAAGTAAAAACATTCTAACATTCTTTACCAAATTATGGTGAGGAATAGTTAATTAATTTTTGCAACATTTTTAAAAGTCAGAACTGTTATTATCATAAAGAAATGGATGGCATTATGCAACGCAGCGAGAACAACCCACGCATTTGCCAAATTAATAAATTTTTATATGGTATATGTAATATGCAAATGCGGTGAAACATAAATTGATATATCGTCTCGCGAATGGTATTTTATAATGTGAAAACATGTTATAAAAATTTGTTTGTTGTCTTCATAATATTATATCATCTACGTAAATTGTATGAAATCGTATCGAAAAAACGAATAGGGGAAATACGGACAAAATGGTATATATGGACACAGTAGTAGTTTTAGTAACGTTTCCGCGGCAGTAAAACATAAAGAAAGTCATAATCACAATCTTATCAGGTGTTTAGCATTGTAACAGTCTTTTTTCAGTAATCGGTTTAAACTTCATAAGTTTTTTTTTTATTTGAGAAGTAATTGTTCATTGTTTCTATTAAATCAATTAACTTATAACGGTACAATTTTGATCAATGTTATTTCAATAATCAGGTGTTGACATACTTATACTATGGACAAAACAACGTAGTACTAAATTATTAGTACTACAAGAAAGTTTCATCCAATGAAAAAAAATTAAAACCTGGCCAAGTTTATTGAATTTCAACTCCTACTCTAACTACTTCTTAAAACGCACTAAAGGATTCACCAGAAAAAAGAGACTTATATTTATTACAAAGACTTTTTTTAAGTTTTAAAACCGGCAAAGGTGAGTTACAATAATTTGTTTCCTTTGGGCTCATGGGTCATATACAGATGTCTAAACGATTTATTTGTAAAATGTCTTCTTAAAAAATTTTATCTTAATATGTCCTTACCTTATATGGTTTTTGTAATAAGTTCATTTTTTTATTTGAATTTTAGTTATTTTAATATAACTCATACTTAATAAAACAAAATTCCATTACTGGTAGTCAATACACCTAAGATGAGGAAAAACAATTATGTTCGATTATAATATTTTAAAATAAAAAAATTAAAAAACAAAACACCAAGTCATTTTGTCTGTCTTTGCATTATAATAAAAAAACACCACTTCTTGATAATTATTTGTTGAACACTAATAATTGTTATTAACACGAACAATCAATTATAAAATCAAACACTTAAATCTTGTCCATCAAAACTGAATTACATCAAAATATACATTTCGTTTCATTTATTTCTAAGATGTGATAAAGTATTGCAGAATAAAATTTATGTTGTCTAGCAATATTAAATAATGTATAAAATGTGCATGTTAATTTTCTTTGTTTCTGTAATTTTCAATGCAAATTACGTCCGCTTGGAAGGAAATCTTGTAAGCAGGAATAATTATTCAAGAACGAGCACAAATGATGCATGAAGAAGTGGTACTTCTTTGCACTGGGATAATTGTAAGTATAAATTATATATATATATATATATATATATAATTCTGCTTAATTAATAATTAAGCAATAATGTTAAATATTTCATTAACGCTCATGGCATTATGGAATAAATAATTTTTTATTAATTTATTTTAAGAATCCTATATAGATGTGAATTCTCACATAACTCTAATGATGTGCAAAAAAGTTTAGGTACATGTCTAGGGGTCAATTAGTACGCATTTGAATTTTACGTCAATTTTGCTATATTTCTGAGAAATATCACCGTGGAGGTGTTAAAATTGTATATGCATATAAAAAGGACATCCACAATTAAAGTGTGATTTGTGCGCAAAATGTTGAAAAAATCATGCATTCTTTCAAATGATTAATGCGCAGTACCATGCCAAAATATCTATATATAATCAGTTTACTTTATACAGAATATTTCTAAGTTCAATTTGACAAATCAAATATTATCTTGATTCTGTTTTAATTTATAATCGTTAATAAACTATGTAATCTATAATTTTATTTATATACTTACTGGAATAATTAGATATAAGACATCCAGGCTGAATAACTCCACCATTGCAATAAAAATCTATATCTCCAACTGGTAAAATTTTTCCTGCTAATCCTGTATTTGTGTGAATGCTATCGACAAACTCAGCATCGTCCTTGCTAAGTTCTCGACCATTTTCTTTAAGATAGAACAATGGCAAAGCTGGATCTAATCCTGCAGTAAAAACGAATTAATTAGATCCGTTTATAAAGAAATATATTTTCATCATCCTCCTTATTAAATGCTATGTGATATACTTTTTGATAAAATATAATTATCTTGTTTCATACCTGATATATTTGCCATAATAGCATATTTAATAATAAAAAAATCTTATTGTGAAGACATAATTTTCTGAATATGCTCATGGCATTAATAATCCATATCAATTTAACGTTTCATATTAAAATTGTATTTATCACCTGTTACTCTTGGAAGTTTTCCAGACTTCATATACTTTTGAATAAACCCTGCCACATGAGCGCCTAATGAAAATCCTAAAAATAATAATGAAACTCAGAATTATGAGTAATATTCCAGATAAATTCATATCATGTGAAATCTGTGATTTTTATACAATATTTATGAAGTGATAAATAAGATGTTAAATAATAAAAACAAATACGATTTGTAAAAAAATTATGTAGAGCTCATTAGAAAAAACAAATTGATAAAATTTCCAATTATATAGAAATTAAATCATGTGGCTCTATGAACAATGAATTTGAAGATTAACTAACCAATAATATGTAATTGACTTAATTGTATTTTTTCAGCAGCAATTCCAGCTTCGAGTACATCAGCAATACAATGGCCAACTGTCTCTAAATTCACTACAGCTTGAAGATAACATCCTTCTTCTACAAGTGGATGATAATCCAAACTAATAATATTCATATCACCAACAGAAAAATAAGCTGAAAAATATAAATGTTATAAATAATTAAATTTTTAAACTAGGGTTGCTATATTGATACAAACTGAAACATCAATTAAACAAACATAAGCAAAATATTTCTTAAAGCACTAAAACACAACATATAGAAGATATTTAAAGATTCGCAATGGTAAAGGTAAAAATGGAGAAAAGTTTTTCAGTTAACATACCTGGTCTAATCTCCGTATTTGGAGAATAATCACGATGTCCAGTATAACCATGAATCAACACTTTTATTGGAAGATTTTTATCTATCGGTGCATCTTTTATAGAATTGATGTCAAGTATATATGGCGAATCTTGAATATCTCTGCAATAATTTAAATATAAGTGTCATCGTGCATTTGGAAACCAAAATAAATATTTATAAATGAAATAAATAAATTATATTATGATGTAAACTTTGAAATTTGGCTGCATCTATCATGTTCTTATTGGAAAAAATGAAGAAATATTTTGCAAAACTATTTCAGTTTATAATTATTACTTTCATTTTATTTTTTACTTACTCTCTATATAAATATAGTGTGATATTTTCATTTGGACATTCGTTTTTAACTGTAAAGCACTTTGAACTAAATGGTGACAAAAAAAATCGAGCTTCGGAATCTTCTTGAGTTTCGCTTGAGACAAAGTGCAATATAACCCCTAAAATACAAGCTCAGAAAATGAAGAGCACATATTACATATAAAAGAGTTACATATAAAAATAAAATTTTATTTTAAACACATTTTAAGTTAATTATTTCACATATAAAGTTATGAATAATTTATTTTATTATTTTTTTTGGTTCGTGAGATAAATCATAGGTAATCACTTATAAAGACATTAGCTTTTACAGTTTAAATTAAATTAGTATGATATAACCTTGCCATATTATTTCAATTCTAATAGCATCGAAAACTGTATAATATTATATCGTTAGCGTCATATCAACATGCAATTTATGGATATATTTTACTTATTCTACGCAAATTTTGCAATAACAAAAACATCATACGACAATCATTATATTTATATATATATATATATATATATATATATATATATATATATATATATATATATATATATAAAGCTCCACAAGCTTAAATAATATCATTAATATAATTTATACATTTATAAATAAATGAAGAATTCAAATCCTTGTAATATTTGTTTTAATCATTGTAAAAGCATCTATTTAGATAGTATTGCCATTATATACGTGTGTCATGTCTAATTTACTACTAATTATTCCTGTTGACAAGGCAAGTAAAGATAAAATATGTAAATAAATAATAAATCTTAAGGTGCATTGACTATTCCCTTGACTGAGGACAAGGTTTAAGGACAAAAGCTTGCCTTCGAACTTATAAGACATAATTAAAGTTTATAATAGATTTCTTAGGAATTTTGTTTTAAATTATTTCTTGCTTTTAATTTCTCAGGATTTATGTATAAGATAAACGCTGCATTAAATCTTTAGAAGATCAATTAAAATACATCGATACGTGAATTCTAAAAAAAGTTGATTTAAGTAATCCCTCTGAGAAAGAAAAATATTATTTTAAATTAGTTTCTACTTCTAATAATGCAGATGTAATTTTGAAACATAAATCTCACAATTCCGATTGTTTTAATTACACGATAAAGCTCTACTTACATATAAATAAACATTTTCTAATATTACACATTATAAATAACAAAGTTTCCCAAGGATTTCCAAAAATTTACGTGTAATAATCAAAAATTTAGTTAGATCACTGCCAATGATTTTTACTCTATAATCAAAAAAGACCAAAAAAAATTTTTTAATCACATACCAGTACAAACTAGGAAAACTTGAGTCCACCGCATCGCGTACATTTTCCGGCGGTTTTTCGCAAACGACTAAAAAATCTTATTGAAAACAACCTCAAGTTAAATTAACGTCACTATAAATAACTCGTGGTTCTGATAAAAGACCGATAATAACAGAAGTTTATAAATTTGAATACTCATTACCATAAATGACAAATACACCTTTTGAAAGACCAAAGGTAATAATTTAATGAATTGATATAAAATATAGTAATTTTTCTATTTATTTTCTAAAATTCTGGAAGTCATTGCGCTTCCTAACTTACTAATAAATATGGCAAAGTACTCTAATATATATTTTAAATTGATATTTTAGTTGAAATCAAATTCTTGATTAGTAAGATATACTTGTAATATCATTATAATAAATAGTAATAAATATTATAATGCACATAAATTGTGAAATTTCTTTGTTAAGTGCATTTTTCCTTAATCTTAACAGACTATTAAAACGCAATTTATGGAATACTGATAATTTATTCACCTAGTTTAAACTTTAAATGTTTTCATTTTAATGAATACTTTCAGATATCGGTGCAATAATTATTTTAAATTTAATTTTCACACATTTCGAGCAATCTAAAGCACATAAAACGCTTGAATAATATTATAATTATTCGGGTCATAAAGTATAATTTTTACCATTATCTGTCCTAAGAGACAGTGATTTATTGAATTTTGATAAAAATTACACCTGGAAATTTACCTCATTAAAGGTTTATCTTATTAAGAATTTCATATCCATTATGCAAATTTTGGTCAAAATTCGATTTCAGGTTTTTGTAAACAGTGCAAATGCAGTTTTGTGATAAAACATTAAGTGTATTTATATATTTTTGTTTGTATATCGTGTGATAATTATTTAAATCATTTGGATGATATGAAAATATGATTTATTTATATATTTTATATCTCAGTATAATTGTTATAAACAGGGTATATTATATATATATATATATATATATATATATATATATCTATAAAAGAAACAATCAATATATATATATATATATATATATATATATATATATATATATATACAGGGCTGGTACTACCTTGAACGCGATACATGCGAAAAATGCGGGCGCACGCCTTAGGGGGCGCCAACACTACATTCATATATGAAACTTATAATATATTTTTAACTTCCCGTAGGGTAAGTTGTAGTAATCGCGAAAAAGTCGAAAATGAAAATTTGTATATATCTTTACGTTTCAAAGATTTCTGAATATTTTGGCATACCTTAGAAAAAATAGATGTATGTGGGTGTATGTGTGTATGTGTGTGTGTTGTGTGTGTGTGCGAATACAAATTTTCGTCGACGATTTTGGGAACACTGATCAACCGATTTGAATAATTCAAAAAACATTCGATTCGTATTGATAAGGTGACGTGCTGATTAGTTTTTGGCAAAGGCAGGTCGAGCCGTTACGGAAAAATGGGGCAAAAAGTGCCAAAAACGGTAACTCAGTTTTTAAGAGCACGGATCGTCCGATTTTAATAAATCAAAAAGCATTTTACTTGTATTGACAAGATGAAGAACTGATTAAATTTTTGGGAAGGCAGGTTCAGCGGTTATAGACTCTCAAGAAAATAAAATTAAAAAAATGTCATTCGGCGGTCAAAAATGTTTACTGGACATATGTACATCAAATTATCAGATATTTTATAGAGATTTTAATAGTGTGTACACATTTTGTGTAAAATTTTGTTGGGTTCCGTGCCAAGATTTTTACGTTACAAAAAGTTCCAGCAATTTGCCTTAAGGGACGATGCTATGCACCCCACTGGTATAATTTTAATTATAAACTGTTAAAACAATCAACATAATAAGGAGAAGGGCGCTAGAAAAAAAATTGCATGCGGAAAAAATGCAATGAAGACCCCTGGATCGGCCCTGTATATATATATTATTATTATTATTGAACCAGAAACCTAATATAAGAACCTTTATGGTTTATTCAATCCTTAAGTTTAAGCTTCTGACGAAAAGATGGCATTGCAAAACATAACCTAACGAAAGTGATGACAGTCATTGACTTACGTGTACTGTTTTCATATTTGACATTAACAAAGCTTTAAATATACTACAAAACATTAAGAAATACAGAATAATAACAAATAAAGATGGTGACATTAAAAGAAAAACAAATAGGTCATTACTACATGTATTTACATACATATTTTAATGTATATATCATAAATAACCTCACTTCAATTTTAAAAATAATTAAATATTTGCAGGTGCTATAAAGCAGATGCTCAACTTGAATCAAGTTATTTCAAAAACAGTACCTGCAGAACCAGTATGGAAAATACTTATTTATGATAGAGTTGGTCAGGATATTATTTCCCCATTGATATCAATTAAAGAACTTCGAGAGATGGGTGTTACTTTACATGTGTAAGTCGGATAAACATAATAGATGAATTATTCTTTATCATTAAAATTTGTATTTGGATCTTCAGAGTAATCAAAGCTTTCCATGTGTCTTGTTTGCTTAAATGATTTACAATGTAATTTACAACGTATATAAAATATTTTCGAGTATGATTTTCACAAAGTTCATAATATAGTATAAAAAATAAACACAAAGCTCGTCAAGCCACGAGTTTTCTGCAATGGAACATTGATTTATATTTATATATTTTTTTTTTTCAGTCAATTACATTCCGACAGAGATTCCATTCCAGAAGTGCCAGCTATATATTTTTGTGCTCCCACAGAAGAAAACTTAGGACGCATAGGACAAGATTTACAAAACGGATTATATGATACATATCATTTGAACTTTATCTCACCTATTTCAAGAGGAAAATTAGAGGATTTAGCAGCTGCTGCCATTCAGAGTAACAGTGTTGCTAATATCCATAAAGTTTATGATCAATATTTGAATTTTATATCGTTAGAGGAAGATTTTTTTATACTGAAACATCAACATAGTGATGCTTTATCATATTATGGTAAAGAATTAAAATTGTTAGTTGTATGCATATTCAAGCTTTGTGCTTAATGTATGTTTATTTCTAGCAATAAATAGAGGAGAAATCAAAGATAATGAAATGGAAACAATAATGGATTCTATTGTAGATAGCCTTTTTTCAGTATTTGCTACATTGGGAAATGTACCAATAATTCGAAGGTAATTGTTATTATTATTTTACAAATGATATATAACAAGTATTAATTGATTTATCAACCAACAATCTAGCCCACGAGGAAATGCAGCAGAGATGGTTGCTAAAAAGTTAGAAAAAAAATTACGGGAAAATTTATGGGATACAAGAAATAATCTTTTTCAAATGGACACATCACAAGGAGTTGGAGCATTCAATTTTCAAAGGCCATTATTAATTATTTTAGATAGAAATGTTGATATGGCCACACCATTACACCATACTTGGACTTATCAAGCTTTGGCACATGATGTGTTAGATTTAGCTTTGAATCGGTTGGTATATTAATAAAATATTTGGTAATAAATAAATCTTTGCAGCTTAAAATTTCAATGCATTCCTTGTACTAAAGTTAAACTAATGTGTGTGATATTTATAGAGTTGTTGTAGAAGAAAGTGCTGGTAAATCAGCTTCAGGTGGAGCCAAAGCTAAAACTCGACCATGCGATTTAGATTCCAGAGATCGTTTTTGGATGGCTCATAAAGGTAATCCATTTCCCACTGTTGCGGAAGCAATTCAAGAAGAATTAGAAACTTATAGAGCATCAGAAGAAGAAGTGAAAAAACTTAAATCTTCAATGGGTATTGATGGTGAAACGGAAGCTGTATTTTCAATGGTCAATGACAATACTGAGAAATTAACAAATGCTGTTAATTCATTACCACAATTGATGGAAATGAAAAGATTGATTGATATGCATACGACAATAGCAACAGCTATTCTTAATTTTATCAAAAATAGGAGATTGGATTCATTTTTTGAAATAGAAGAAAAAATTATGTCCAAAAGTACTTTGGATAAAAGTATTCTCGAAATATTAACTGATGCTGAATCGGGTTTGCCAGAAGACAAAATGAGACTATTTATAATATATTATATATGTACTCCTCAGATGTCAGAGGCAGAATATAAGAAATATGAAACAGCTCTTATTAATGCTGGTTGTGACATGCAACCGTTGTTGTATATAAAACGATGGAAGTAAGTTCTTTTCATAAAAATAAATTCTATAAAGTTAATTTAAATATAATCAATGCTAGATAATAAACAGTATTTGTTTATACTGATTTTTAAATCAAGCACACATATCAACAATTGGCTTTATGAATCATAAAGTTTGGTCATTTATTTTTAGTCGGCAATGAATTGAGAAAAATAATGCTTGAATATACATCACAGTACGAAATATTCCATTTCAAGTTACAATAACACTTATTACATTTTTAGAAGTCTTACAAAAATGGTAGCAGCACCAAGTCAATATGAAGGCGGTGGTACTAAAACCGTATCTATGTTTTCTAAGCTAGTTTCACAAGGATCATCTTTTGTAATGGAAGGGGTCAAGAATTTAGTTGTTAAAAGACATGTAAGTATTGTCCTAACTGTATATATAAAATGTATCCTAACAATGTAGCTAATAATAATTCCAGCTACATATTTTTTATAAATATGTATTCTGATAAAAACTATTGTAATATGTTTAAATTATAGAACTTACCGGTTACTAGAATCGTTGAGCAGCTTATGGAATGTAGGACTGGTGGAGAAACTGATGATTATCACTATTTAGATCCAAAGTTATTAAAAGGTGGTGAATTTCCAAAAGGTCGAGCTCCATTTCAAGACGCTATTGTGTTTATTGTTGGAGGTGGAAATTATATAGAATACCAAAATTTGGCCGATTTTATTAAGGTATTAAATTTATTTATAACACAATTCACATTTCAAGGTATCACATGCACATTATTTCTTACTGTTATTATTTCATATCATTTGTCCAAATGTATTAACGGGGTATTTTAGTGTAGAAATTCAAAAAAATCATTCTTTTGTTTCATATTTTCAAAGTTTGACTGTTTAAGAATATTTGTACAAGAGGATTTTTTAAAATTCAAATTATGTTTGGAGATACAGCTGTTTAACCGTGATAATCCTCTTCGGTCTTCTGTCTTTTGCAAAACTTTAAACACGTTTTTATCAAAACTGTCCTTTTCGATATGATGCCCATGATTTCTCAAGTTGAAATTTTCAGGGAATCTTCTTGTATACATCTCTCTGCATATACTAGCCTTATGCCCAAGTTTAAATTATTATTTGAAAAATTCGGGAAAATCAAAGTGGTAAGAAAAATGGTCAAATTCAAAATTATTATTTAACTTAAACTTTGTATATACTATAGCAACATTATTCTAGATTATAAATCTTTCCTTTTTTTCACTTCGGATTACTAGAAGAGGTGCAATCGTGGGCATGAACATGTGTCAATTTTTTGGGACCCCCCCACATTTTTTTCGTGTTTACTTTTAGCTGTACTCTTGTAACATTGATAAATAGATTAATGAAGAAATAATCTTCAATCACCTCTTTTGCACAAAATGCTTTAAAACTGACTTAAAATTCAAGCTCTACACTAGAGTACCCCACTTTAACTAAAGAAAATTTTATTTTGACGATTTATACAAATTAATATTTTATTATTATTATTTCAAGCAAAAGGCTGGTAGCGGTACAACACGAAGAATAATATATGGAT